AGTACCAAGTTGAAAGTGGGACTGCTCGATTAGAAAATGGATAAAAAAAAATCGTTCCCCCAGTTTTTATTAGTTTTGGAGATGGTTTGCCCAAAATCGTAATCATGATCAAATTTTGATTTAATTGAGCAGCCTAGTTGAAAAGTTTAGAGGTTGGGGATGCTGAGTCATGCAACCATGGTGTTAGTTTGTTTATAGCTTCACTATTCAAACCCATCGGTTGTTTGTCGAGGGAACCAGGGTGATGCTAACTTCTGGGTTGGCCTTCAAAAAGGACGTCATCCCTGCCAGCTCTCTACTGCTGGCCAAAGCAGAAAAACCTTAGGAATTAGACTTAATCCAGCAGGTTGACCATAGACTTAAGTTAGGTTAAAAGTGTTGATTCTAGATAAGGCTGGGTGGAGGTTGTGCTGCTGTGAAGGATTTGACAAGAAGCAAGCAGGAAAATCCTGCTAAAACAGCTGCATTCTGCACATGAGGTGGAAGGATGATGTTTGAATAGTTACCCAATTCCAAACTGGTGGGTAAAAAGTAGTTGTGTTAATTGTTATTCTCACTTAGTGCTGTGTCTTATCTTTCTTTGTGACATGAAAGGTTATTGTTGTGTGTGTGCATCTGTTTTTGTGTAAAGTCTTTGTGCGATTCATTTGCTATAATGAGGTCCTGTCGAGGGTAAATGGAAGAAGCTGATTTGACAGTGAGATCAGTGTTTATGATCTTCTTAGTGTCACGACCACCACGCGCAAATATAAGTAGTTACGGCGCTCCCATGACGTCATGTTGTCGCGCTACAGGTCGGGAACAGCGAGTATGTCACAGCCTTTAGAGTCAGCAGCTTTCAGAGGCAGGTCTTTAAGTGGAGTCCAATTTTAAAAACAAACTTAAAACAACTACTTAAAAATGAATGTTTTTCTGACTGTATATAATGCAACCATGGACAAAAAGTAACCTTCAATATATCAGAAGGAGACAACACTAGCTGCTTCTTGTCCCTTGAAGTGAGTATGTGATATGAGCAGCTGTCTAGTGGTCACCTCTGACACGCACAGTGACATTCAGAGCTTTGTTCTTCACTGCTGTCGGCGGTGTAGGACAAATAAAAGCTAATGGAGGAAGGAGGAGAGAAGGGGCCCCACACGAGGAAGTGTAGGGGAGATAAGAGGGAAATAAGGAAGTAAAAGTCCACACTGCATACTAATAGGATCCATTGTATACTATATAATGTACTTTAAATTGTATACAGTTTGTGCTGTGGGTGTATAAGGAAGCAGTATAATTAACAGGAAATGAGGTATATATGTATGCTGATGGATGTCAAGCACACTGAATGTTACTGCTATTTTTTTATTCCAGTATATATCTGTCTCCCTTCATACATATATTTGTCATCTACTCTTTCTCATTTCTAATGTTTGAATTACATTATTTTGGCATACAAGTATACCTATTAATAGGAATGCATACATTTTCTATACTAATACACGGGTATGATATGTATAATTTAATGTCTCTCTCTAGATGATATATTGATCGCTACTTTAAAGAGCCTTGGGGATTTATCTGGGCTTGGGCTGGTGGGTGGAGAGAATGGTAACAGGAGCCATCACCATAGAGCCAGATTCAGAGTCACTGTGAGTCAGAGCAATTACTATAATGTATGCGACTTTTTATAAACTATATTCCAAGTCCAGTGATTTATAAGTGTGGAGACCCTGTGTGCTATGCTTGCAGCACTGGAAATGGAACATCCTAGATTCTATAAATACTGTAAATTGTCAAACATTTGGCTACTGTAAAATAACCTCATCGCAGCCTCTATGTGATGGACAGTGACACAGTTTATGAGACTGATCGTCACTGGAAAACTGGGCCCAGGGCTCACTCATGCCACGAGCGGGATTGTCAGTGTCTAAAGGAGATTGCGTGCAGATAGTGGACCAGTCGTTCATACTGGCTGCCACCCAGTAATCTGCTACCTCCATCTCCACTCTTTGTCTCCTTGCTGGCTGCTCTCTGTTTGCTATGCTTGATTATAGTTTGTTGACATTGTTGCTTTTGCTTTTTGTTCTCTCCAGCTGGATGGGGACACCATGTTCCTGGGTATGCCAGACGCAGGCCTTGACTTTGCCTCAACCAATCAGGTTAGTTTGTGTGTGTGAGAGAGTGTGTTTTTGTGTGAGAAACATAGTGAGTTCCTCTATAAAGTTGTTCCTCTGACATTTCCTTCCTTTAATTTTTTTATTAGATTAAATGTATTACATTTATTATCTCCCCCAACAAAACTGCATGATTTGATCAAAACACTCTTCACAAGTGTAATTACTAATGTTTAAAGGTTCAGTGTGTAATATTTAGGAGGATTTATTGGCAGAAATGGAATACAATATTCATAGCTATGTTTTCATTAGTCTATGATCAGCTCAAAATAAGAGTCATTGTGTTTTTGTTACCTTAGAATGAGATGTTTTCATCTACACAAGTGGGTCGCCTTCTATGGAGTCCACCATGTTGAACTGCCATGTTTCTACAGCAGGCAGGCTGGGACAAACCAAACACTGGCTATAGATAGGGACTTTCACGTATTCCACGGCCACCGTAGTTTCTCCTTCGTGCTTGCAACTACACCACTGTATGCCACTAAATCCCTACAAACTGGTCCTTTAAATATGACACAATATGTTAATGAACAGATAAACAGAAACAAATGATGCACCCTGCAGAAGGGAGGGACATTAGTCCATTAGGAGGGACTAGTTTCCCAATACCTGATTTAGCTATTAATTACTGCAGGAGGCGTGAGACTTTATTGTACTTGACATTCAGGAATGCCACTCAGACCGATTTGTATTTAGGAAAGCGCTGATGAAGAGCCCTTCTTAAACAACAGTTATGTAGCTACACTGCGCACTGCAAAGTATCCATGTAGAGGAGGAAAAATGTTCCAAGGATTTTCCATCGTGGTGCATAAATGATATTTTACAGCAGATTCTTGTTGATGCTTTCTTTAAGATCATCATGCCCCACTACGTCTTTGAGCTCACCTTTAGCTATTTCAGTTCTCACAGTTATTTCCAGATGCATCAAACCAACTTTTCCTCCCATCCTGTTCCACGAATCAATATCACTTACATGCACTCAACCTGAGGCACATAAAGCATTACAGTGATTTCCCATGTCCAAGCTTTCTCTTTTTTATACAAATAGACAACTACTGAGTAGGATTTAAGTACTTCATTTATTTAGGATGTTTGCACAGAATGAGTCATTAAACTAATAATATGCTTTCTATCAGTTTACCATTGTTACCTTTAATCCCTTGAAAAATGGCAAAAATCAAGGGCCAAATAATATAATTATTTTCTTGTTTTTGTTGATTGACTTTAAATTATAGCAGACCTACAGTTTGAATCAATAAATATGCTCTTACATGCTATCTCAAAGAGTTTTAATTAAGGCACAAATGACTTTTTAAAATGAGGACATTTTTTTTTTTAGGTTGATATGATGAACAACCTTCAGTTCTGTTTGGTGATCACTGTTGACAACTTATTATCCTCTGAGGACAAATCACTTACTGTGCACTGGCCAGATGTCAGAAATGATGCTAGTAACCCTTCATCACTGTGATCTGACTCTCTGACCCCATTTACACTTAATCCCTCCATGTGTCTTGGGAGGATCGGGTAGATATCAGATCTCAAAAAGAAAAAGTTTACAGACTGAAATCAGAGCCACATTGTATCCAGATGTTGAAAAGGTGTAAATTCGCCTCTCCAAGATGAACGCGTAATCTTTACTTCTCCCATAGTCTAACTACATCATTAAGCAGTCTGTGGAAATATCTGCTCAATGTCTGATGTTCTTTATACATTCATGGTCTGATGATAATTAACACATTGGGTAGTGTATGTGTTTAATGGTAAAATGATGTACTAGCTGGGTTGGGCTGCTAATAAATACAACTCAACTTTAAGTTAAAGGACCAGTGTGCAGGATTTAGTGGCATCCAGCGGTGAACTTGAAGATTGCAACTAACTGAACACTGCTGGCATCTGTATTTGACGACCTGGGAATGAGAACAGCACGGAAACTCCCTATCTACAGCCAGTGTTTGGTTTGTCCGTTCTGGGCTGCTGTAGAAACATGGCGGCCTCCATGGGACAATATTATTAATGGGTATGCTCCTCAATACTTGTGTTCTCAGATAACAATGGTCCATACTCAGCATCACTATAATACCAGGGCCAGTGTGCGTTCATGTAAAGCACCTTGAGTGAATAATGTACCCAGCAGCTCCTATTTTTTACACTGGTGCCATATTGTGGAATGACCTTCCATTACATGTCTTAAGTCTTTAAATATGAGAGTGGCTTATAGAAGTCGGCTTAGGATTGTTTTTATGAAAAACAAACAACTGCATCAGTTTTGAGAAATGTGCTCGTGGAGTTTTAGGGCTATGTTGTTTTTAGTTGTTTTTTTCCGTCTTCTAACATCTTGGGACCATGTTGGAAATACACCAACACTTGAACATGTTATCCTTTTGGATTTTTGTTTCTTTTCCTGTGTCCGATAATCAATCAATCAATCAATCAATCAATCAATCAATCAATCAATCAGTCAATCAGTTGGAGGCAACCCGCTGTGTCTGCAGAGAAAAACTGCTCATTCTAAGGTAACGAAAATGCAACAATTCTTATTTTCAGGTACTTACACACTAATAAAAACATACCTATGAATTAATTATTATTAATTGATCAGTTCATCAGCAGGAAGTTCATTGACATTACACTGCCATTTACATTTAAGAAGCAGTAAGTAGTGAAGCTTCTCAAATGTGAGGATTTCTTTGTTTTGTGTCAAACCTCAAACTGAATGTGTTTGAGGTTATGACTATAGTTACCAATACCAGTATCAGAAATTCCTACCAAACTGCCTAAAATGCAGTATCTGGCATTGGTAAGTGTATGCGTCTGTGCACCAATCCGATATTCCTTAATTTATTGTCCCCAAAACAGGGCACCGCTGGGTACAGGGTCCCATTAACGGACTGCTACTTTGCCATATTTTTACACACATATGTTTGCATCTGTACTCTGTATTGGCCAGTATAAAAAGTTCAGGTATCTGGATCAGTAATGGGGAGGGATTTTTTTTTGGACTGTTGGTTGGACAAAACAAGCAATATGAAGAAGGGACTTTCTGCTTTTTTTTTTATTTTTTTTTTTTACATTGTCTAGACAAAATGATTAATTGATTGATTAAGAAAATAATTGGCAGATTAATCTATAATCCAAATAATCGTTATTTGCTGCCCTGCCTTGCATTTTGCCTGGATTCAAAATGTATGGTAATTGACTGATAATTTTCATTCATTCAACATTCATTCAAATTAGTGTTGATTTAGGCCCTGAGAAACTTTAAACAGGATAAGAAGTATAGTGAACGGATAGATGGATGGAAATTTCCACCAGAGAACATTGCGTTCATTGCATAAAATCAGGTTTCAGGGTAGCTGATGGTGTATGTACAGCTGTCCTGTTACGTCACCTGAGAGCAATGACCAATGCATTAAAGATCAGCTGTTTTTAGATTACTAAGCAACAGCCCCGGAACAGCACTATGCAGCAAACAGTGTTTTTATGAGGCTGTGGGTGTAACAGCATTCACTGTGTAGTCTCCAGAGGCACAGTGGAGCCTCTAGAGAGTAACATGCGTTTGTTAGCACAGAATTACCTCACAACCAAGCAAAGCCCACATTAATAAGAAACTTCACTAGAGATGCATTATTCATAGAGTACACTATAGAGAATATTGTGCGCTATAGGAATCTATGATTTGATGTTTTATTCATAGTGTTGTGCCATAAGAAGATGGGGAGTGAGGTGTGGAATGAGAATTTATGGCTTTATTATTGAAGTACCATTGCAAAGTCAGATGTTGTTGTGATAAATGTGACCAATTTGAGTCCAGTCTGACCCTGGTGCGTGTCCTTTTTGAGTTGATAATGGAGCAGCAGTGTGATGTTGCTGAGCTGAAGCTAAAACAGGGAGACTGCTACGCTACTTTGTGAAGGAGACTCAGTGAAACAACACATGCATTGCATGTGTTTAAAAGCCTGAAAACATGGTTTCGAACAGCCACATCATACTGTGTGTTCATGTGTTAAGTCATTGTTTTTCTTTTCCTAATGGAGGAACTGATTTCAGCTTCTCAAATGTGAATAGTTTCTGGTTCCTTGAGTCCTATACGTCACTGAACTTAATATCTGTAGGTTATGGACAAAACAAAAACTGTGAGGAAGTCATCTTGGCTTGGCTTTGGGAAACCATGATCAACCGCTTCCTGATATTTTATGGACAAAACAACTAATCAGTTAGTCAAGAAAATTATCGACAGATTAATCGATAATGTAAATATACCTTAGTTGCAGCCCCACTACACGCACAGCCAACTACACAACACTGCACAGTTCAAAAGACCAGCCACAACATGGCTGCTGACTCTGAATGTAATCATGGAACTCCTGAGCAGTTTTGCCTTTCAACAATTGCAGTAAAAGTTTATTTTAACAAGTAGCCCTGTCCTCCAAAATGCAGACATAAAAACAAAGGCAGCGTTACTCTGTGCATTAGTCGATTGAAAGAAAATGGATGAATGAATATTTTGTTCATTTATTGTTTTAGTCATTATTCAAGCACAATTGTCAAACATTTTTTTATCATCTATATCATTATAGACAAAATGATTCATTTACGGAGCTGCTCGTGGTTGTGATTTCACAGAGAGTCTACCAGGTGTATAGAAATGAATAAAAGTGCAGGGTGGTGGTGATAAAAAAACCACGGTGATCACCACACCCCTTCCTGAAGAAATACACCAAAATACAACATGAACCACTCAGCCTAACTGGTCTGTTTGTGCCAGCGTTATCTGTGTGTGATGTTTTTATGTGTTTGTCTTTCTCCCTTCATTGCAGCTGTACAGCACTTGGTGTAACCTTTCCTTATCAGGGATTAGCTGTGGAGGGAATAAACTAGCAATTTATTTACAGACGCTATCTCTCTCTCCCCCTCTCTCCTTTTTCTCTAAATAGCTTTTGACTCAAGTTTTATTTCTCTTTCTTTCTGTCAACTCAATTCAGTTGTAGCAGTTGGTATGAAAGTAAAAGGGATATTACCCAACCATAAAGATTAAAATATTTTTTTTGACCTGCGTGTGGGAGTTTGTATGTGTGTCTGTGTGTNNCCCCCCCCCCCCACCTTTGTCTTTGTGCCTCTTCATGACCTTCTCATGTGACCTCTGACCTTTTCCTAACCACTGCATCCATTTGAACCTTTGTTTGTCTTTGTGATTCTTCCCACAGTTTCGTGTGCCACAGCCCCCTCACCCTCTCAGCAAGATGACGCCACCCAACCCGCCCTCACAGCACTGGAGGAGGGACACACACATGGCCGACACACACCGTCTGCCTTGGGTGAATAAACACACACAACATTGCAGAGGCACCACTCCAGTCTTTCTGATAATTTCAGATAACATTGAAACTCACACATCAACACTGTCGTAAATACACCAACAGTCTAGTTTTCATAAAAATCGTCTAACTGCAGGACCATCTGTGCTTTAGGGAAGGAAAGTAACAGTAGCAGTAGTACAGACCACCA